TTTAGTTAGTACGTCGCGTCGTCGTCACTACGCACCACTACGCCACACCAAAACTAACGACGAACAACTAACTACTTATACTATTACGTTCGTTCGTCTCTCTCTCTCTCTCTCTCTCTCTCTCTCTCTCTCTCTCTGTGGCTATGTGACAAGACAGGTTGCTTCTATAACTAATTCTTCAATACCTACAAATTTCCCCAAAATTAAAATTAAAAATTTAAAAAATATCCACAGCAATCAAGAAAATCTTGCACCGTGATTCCCTATCATGATTAAAATCTCCAACGTTGGCTCAAGCCAATGAATCAATGCATTGTTTTCTTTATTGTTTTCATCTTCATGGATTTCATGCTCGTACATCAGTTAATGACAAGGTAAACATACTACAAAAGCAGTTTGTGGAGTAATCAAGTAAAAGCCCAACAACAAGATGCATATCAACAACAATCCAACTTCTCTCCCAAAAGGGGAAAAAATAAAAGTGTATATGAAGACACAAAGACTTGCCTCATAAGAAGCCTTCAACCCCACGTCCAGTAATCACATCCTGATATATTCTAAGTGCTTCTTCCATAACCTGGGCTTGCCTCAGTAGCTCTGCTCTCTTCTTACCAGATGGATGGGTAGAGAGATAATCCCTCAATGCCGATTCACCATGTAATTGTCCAAGCTTTTCGTATACAGTAGGAGCCACACGAGGATCGTAACCAGCTGAAGCTAACAGCAGCAACCCTATGTGGTCAGCCTCGATCTCCATGCTGATATTCATTGGAAAGAAAACAACATTAATAGAAGACGTGTTTAACTACGCGTAAAGATTGCTACCTAGCATCTGCTTGTATGATGTGTTTTAAAGCATGGACTAGGGTCAAGACTCACCAGAGTCCTGAGCCCCAGTCATGCAACGCGACCTCGCCCAATCCCACAAATATTAACAATAAAATCTTAAACCCACGAGACTCACTCAGTTTGCATGGTTTTGGTTTCAGGCTCGAGAGCCTGCTGAGTCCGAGTAACTTGAGTGGGATTTTTAACACTGCTTGTATGAATATAAAAAAGCAAGATCAAGTGGAAGGTTGATTATGCATAATGTTAGCTTTAGTCCATGTCAATACTTCTCAAAAAGCACTCTATTTTCTGGTGATCTGCAATTCCTTTTGACATTTTATGCATACATGTAAACACCTATGCTACTGACATGGACACAGAAGTACCTGCTTAAACATGCATCTACAGTGTCAAATGCGTCAAACTTAAGGACTGAAAAGACAACCCAAACCTTCAAGTAAATACCAGTATTATCAGGTCCGTATTGGTGCTCGAGCTGGCAAAGGGGCTGGTTAGGTCAAACTCCACTGACCGGTTGGATCATTTTTAAATAATAAAAAAAAAAACCTAAAAATTCAATAAAATTTAGAAAAATTAGATAAAAGGTTTTCACCTAGAAAATGTTGATAAAAATGAAAGAAAATTTTTCAAAAAATGTTGGAAAGTTTCTAATTAATATTAAAAAGTAGACACTGGATTGAAAATTTTATTAAATTACTATCAATATGATGAAAAGATTCATGCAATCTGTGGCATCAATATTCAACAATTATTGTCCATGCTCCATGAAGTCCATAAACATACAATAAAGTAAAAGATATTTGAATACTTAAAAATATGAAGTTAAATTTCACAATTTTAAATGAATAACTACATAGGTCACATAATTTTGTCAATTGACTAGTGAGAGGAGATGCCCTTTTTGTGAAGTTCAACCATTAAGAAACAATTCATTCCTCATCTGAAATTATATTCATTATAAGAATCACAAACTTTCCCCTTGTATCTTTTGACTGTCATTGATAAATTACACATTGCCAAGAAAACAATACGAAAAAAGAAAAACCAATTAGACCTAACATCTACCATGAAATAGCTAGGTTCAATTAGAATACAGCTCGAGTGAAGAATAATAGCATCAAAGGAATGTATCAATTAATAAAACTTCAAATTTTCAATTTTTATTTTTGACCATTCCGTTAAATTTAATATCTTACAAATCAAACAACAAAAGCACGGTTTCCATACATAAAACCTAGGCCATTCTGATACATAAAGTAACAGAATATTATATATAAATATATAGTATTATAGATTAACAAAATCTCTTTCATCAGAACATACAAACACAAACACAACAAATATAGAAAGTATCGGATAGGGAAACAGATTCAACTGCTATTTACATTGTAAAAAATGATCGCGAATTGAAAATAAAAAACAATCCACATCAAAAACAAAAACAAATTTAAGGAATCATGCTTGGGTCAAGACGGTAGAGGCTGGGTTTTCATAGAACCAATGTCTAAAAAATCGTCGCCCGATCTGGAATCGAGTGATCCGGATTGGGAATCGTCGAAGACGATCCGGATCCACTAATAAAACAAGATCCAGCCATGTAGCTACAGTGAATCACGATTCTGACCTCACAAATCGGAGGATCGCTACAGTAAACCCAGTGATGGGCTGTTCTGACGTCACGAATTCTAACCTCAAAATTTTTTTTTTTTGAAAAATGTATTTTTTTTCAAAATCCCAAGGCCCAAGGGCCAGCCATTATCAGATTGTTAAACCCAATGATGGGCTGTTCTAACGTCATGAATTCTGACCTCAAATTTTTTTTGTTTGAAATTTGAATAATTTTAATGTATTTTTTTTCAAAATCCCAAGGCCCAAGGGCCAGCCATTATCAGAAATTATAAGCCATGTGTACAAACAAACAACCATACAAGTACTCTCCATCTTGGCTCACGCGAAATAGGATGCCACTTTTATGCTTACCGTTTAACGCACGCCAAAGGATTTTATAAAGCCTTTCCCATCCAGGATTCCCCGATGTGGGAGTCCGTTTCCGTTGTTTAATGACGAATAAAACGTAGCTTGTTTAGGAAAATTATTTGCACCATTATTGAATAAACTTTTGTAACTTGGGAATAAAGGTTCAATAAATGTTGCAACACTATACCTACTAATAAAGTTCTAATAAAAATAAATAAAACGTAGCTTGCACAATAGAAATAACATGGTTTTAAATTAAATCTAGGGAAAATTACAAATAACCCCCACTAATAGACTTCCTATGCAACTTACCCCCCCCCACCCCCCTCCCCCCCCAAGCACAAAATGGGAGTAGTCCGGCACTTTGCTTTTAGAAAGCATGCAGTCCGACACAAAATAGGGGCGGTCCAGCACTTTGAGCATGCGGTCCGGCACTTTGGGCATGCAGTCCGGCACTTTGGGCTTCTGGAAGCATGCTGTCCGACACAAAATAGGGCGGTCCGACACTTTGGGCATGCAGTCCGGCACTATGGCATTTTCGTCAAAAAATATGACTTTTTTGACTTGGGGGCATTTGCTAGAAAAGTTCAATTTGGGGTAAAAGTTGCTAAAAAAAACTTTGTTGAGGGCAGGTTGTCTAGAAAGTCTTATTTTGAGGGTTTTTTGCAATTTTCGCTTAAATCTATGCCATTTGTTACCACATTTAACGAGCACATGGTTTTAAAAAAGGATGCGGTTAGCAAGCAGCCAAGCCCGCACATGTAGGAATGCGGGCCCTTTAATAAATTTATTTTTGAAATAGAATTTAATCCTAATTTTTAGAGAACATATAATCTTTAACATGGAGATCATGAATATCAAAAAATAAATTAATTTTTAAAACTAGAAATAATAATTATATTAAGAAAACAATTAGACCGTTGGTTTGAATTATGTTAGATGGACCACCTATTTGCATCCATCTTTAAGATGGATGCTTTATACCTCAGAACCGCATATTGTACAAATGCGATCCAGCCCGCATGAAACAATTGTTCTTTAAAAAAAAAAAGGGTCAAAAAATTTTTTACATCTCCATTGACATCTCTATCTCTCTCCTGCTTATAAAAGGTCTACAAAAATGAAATAATTTATAAAATAAAAGTTATTTTTCTTTTTAAAATTAATAAATTTTTTTTTTTATAATTCATAAAAAATAAAAGTACATATAGGTAAGTTTTAATTACATATAATTACAAAATAAAATTTCATATAATTATTTTACAAAAATTAGATTACACATGAAGAGATTTGGCCCTCTACAAAGAAACTTCATATAATCAATTTCATAGTTGGCTCTCTACTATGCAATTTTAATTCTGTGAATATGTTCACATTAAAATTACATTAATATTATTATGTTGAATAATATAATTATATAAAAATGTTAACTTATTTATATAATTATGTTAAAATTGTTATTGCTAAATTGAAGTGTTTATTGTTATAAATACATTAAAATATCACATAATTTAATATATTAAATTTCTATGATATTTTAATAATTTATTATTGCTATATAAATTATGCTATTTTCATATTTAGTCTCGATTGTAATTTTAAATTAATATACTCATAAAATTTACAAATAATAACAAATAACTTATTTCTTTTTTACAATATACAAAATAAAGTACATATAATTAAGTTTTAATTACATATAATTACAAAAAAAAATTACATATAATAATTTACAAAAATTAACATATTTATATAAAATTGATGTTTATTTATGTTAATAACTTAAACTTATGTCAGTACAAGTATTTTTATATACATTAAAATTATTTTTAAATTATATGGAAGTGTTTTCTAATATTTTTTAATTATTTTGATGCAATATTATAATACTATATTACAATTAATAATTATATAGACATCCAAACAAGAAGATAGCATATCAGTATCCACCTATTTTAGCAAAGTAATGAAAATACATAATGCACCAGTCCTAATTTATTTTAGAAACTAAAATAACAACATTTTTAAAGATTTATAGCGATTTTTTTAAAACTTTTGGGACAAAAATTGTTGATTCCGCCGATTCTCCGAACCTATCCACCGATTCCGCCGATTCTCCGAACCTATCCACTGATTCCCCGACCCAACACGGGTATGGGTGTGACCGATTCGAGTCACCGATCCGCTTTTTAAAACGTTGCATAGAACTATGTCTCAAGTTCCATTCCTATGTAACCTTTTGCCAGAGACAATTTGTCTTAAGAGAGAATTTCTATACTAAAAAATGAAGACCCAAAGAACCAGCAAAAATATGCAAATATGGGGTGTATGTGATGACAGCTTGCAATCAGGGGAAGCAAAAGCCGCAATATAGAAAAGAAGAAAAAAGAGGCCAAATTACAGCAAAATAGTGGAGCAAGTAAATAAATGTAATAATATAGAGAACTTTACATCGGCAAGAGTGGAACGAATTTCCCTTTTATGTTAGAAAAAAAAAAAAAAGGAAAGAAAGAAATATAATTTTTGCTTTCCATTATTCTTTCGTTAGGGTCATTATTTTTTGGTACAAAATTTGGAAAGAAAACTATCAACACAAAAGATATAGAAAGAAACAAAAAAATAAGGGAAAGATTTGCAAGAAAACTACAAAATATACATAATAATATCACCTAGCCCAAGATTTGGTGGTCCAAGAGAACCAGTGAAAGAAGCCAACCGGATTGGTTCGACCAGTCAAATGCTAGTTTTGACCGGTTATATGTGAATCCCTATTTAGGGCCAAGTGCCCAACATCTCTTGTTTTGTGTAACTAACCACCAGTCCAGTCCGATCTTTATTACCCTGGTAAATGCCTAATAATGAAAATAGAAATATATAAAAAATAATAAACTAGACAAAATGCAAGAAACTGTAACAAAAATAGAAAAATAAAACAAAATAAAATGTCTAAAAACATGATAATAACAAGTTCATTTCTGCAGGTGTCTTGTTGTGTCAACACATGTGAAAACACCACCACATAATAAGCACCACGCAATAGTAGTCATTCAAAGGAATCATGAAATATGCAATTAACATTACAATTCTAGTCACAAACTAGAGGGAAGAAGTGCTGCTCAATAAGTATGGTCAACATCTTACCTATTAGTGGTACAGTTGAACTGCAAACTTCATTTGTTTGGGCAGCCAATATTCAAACTTGGGGTTCTAGCAAGAAATCACAAAATGACAATCACGCCACTTATGAATCATGCCTAGCATAATTAGAGACCCATTGTTGCTCACTAACAATGAACAAACCCCAAAGGTACATAATTACTACCTTTTTATATAACACATGTCCGTTAGCATAACTGCGCCTTAGCCGGCCCCAAGCCGATCATGCTGGTCCCAAGCCTAGGTAAAGGAGGAGGATTATGTTAGGCAAGGCAGCAAGCATAAAACTTTGCCAACTCTTGTCATGAATCCTGAACCTATGAGCAGAATGGCAGAACAAAATTCATGTAGCCGATCTCAAATAGTTGGGATAAGGCTTAGATGATGATGATGATGATGTCCGTTAGCAAAGAGACATCAACACGAATTGCAGAAGTTCTGCACAAGGTATGGATTTAAATTGGAAAGGCAAATTGTGCCTTGCATCTACTTTTCCTCTTGGCATCCCCTTCCTAGGTAGATAAGCCAATCTTGTTAGCCTATGCACAAGGACATTGCAAAGAAATATTTCATAGCCTGCTAATCCCATGAATCTACTCAACCACATCAGTATTCCTCAATGGCATGGCTATGTGATGATATGCCTAATTAATCATACACAACTGCCTAACTAATCATACACAACAAAGCACCTTCTACAATAAGGGGACTCAATAAATCTCTAAAACTATCACATCACTATTTTCTCTTGTTAAGCCCAAATCCATGGACCGCCAATCTCACAAACAACCTAACGAACCAATATTTGTCAGGTGCCGCAAACCATCAAAATGCATTAATGCGTTACAAAATATTATAGACCAACCATAACTTTATAACCAATATTTCATAAGCGACTAGCAACAATGATGCTCCATAAATCATGCTCAAATGCAACAGAAATTAAGGCCTCAACCATAATGGGTCATCATCAAACACCTTAGAAAGTGTTGGATTATCTCACTATATACTGGGAATCATGTGATCATCATCATCATCTTCAAATCCTTTTCCTATCTAATTGGGGTCGGCTTCATGAATCCTGGACGTCATTCTGCTCTATAAAAATTCATACCCTCAGTGAGGCCATAATTCCCCATATCTTTTCTCACAACTTCCAACCATGTCCTTTTGGACCTACCCCTTGCCTTTGTTTAGCCTTCTACTTAAACTAACTCGCACCTCTTAACATGTGTTGTACTGGGTCTGTGCCACATATGGCCAACCCATCTGTCTACTTTCTCTCATCTTGTCACCTATTGGTGCCACACCTAAATTCTCCCGAATGTATTCATTTCGGGTTCTGTCCCTTCTTGTCTTGCCACTCATCCATCTCAACATTCTCATCTCAACTACACTCATTCTATGGGTATGTTGATTCTTGACCGCCCAACATTCCACCCCATAAAGTAAAGCTCGTCTCACAAGTGTCCTATAGAACTTGCCTTCAGCTTCATTGGTATGCGGCGATCACATAAAATTCCGGTTGCACATCTCCACTTCACCCATCCAGCTCTAATTCTATGTGCGACATCTTCATCAATCTTTCTATTTTCTTGAATTATCGACCCAAGATATCGTAAGTGCGCTTTTTTGGTATTTCTTGACCGTCAATCTTAACTACTTCCTCATCTCTACTCCTATTATAACTGAACTTGCATTCTATGTACTCCATCTTAATCCAGCTAATTTTAAAACCTTTAGATTATAGAGCATCCCTACAAATTTCAAACTTTGTGTTGACGTCGTTTTAGGTCTCATCAATCAAAACTATGTCAACAGCGAACAACATGCACCATGGTACCTCATTTTGTAGGTGCCTAGCTAAGTCGTCCATAATTAAGACAAAGAGGTATGGACTCAATGCTGCCCCCTAATGTAGACCTATTGTCACTGAAAACTCACTGGTCACTCCACTAGTTGTTCATACACTAGTTAGCGCTCCCTCATACATATCTCTCACCAAGTCGATGTAGTGTCTTGAGACTCATTTCTTTTCCAACACCCACCAAATCAAATTTCTAGGTACTATATCATAAGCTCTAGATCAATAAAGACCATGTGGAGGTCTTTTCCCTTAGCCCTAAACTTCTCAATCAGTTGCCTAAGAAAAATAGCTTCGGTTGTTGACCTGCCTGACCTAAAATCGAATTGATTTTCTAATACACTCGTTTCATGCCTTAGTCTCCGCTCAATCACTCTTACCCACAGCTTCATAATGTGGCTCCTAAGTTTGATCCCTCTGTAGTTCGCACAATTCTATGTCTCATTCCTTCTTGTAAATACGTACCACAGTATTTTTCCTCCATTCATCTAGCATTTTCTTTTTTCTCAACAACTTGTTGAACAACATGGTCAACCAATCAATGCCAATCTCGTCCATCCACTTCCAACACTCCATCAGAATACCATCTAGTCCTAAAGCCTTTCCTATCTTCGTCCTCTTTAAAGCTTCTTTCCCTTTCGATATCATAATCCTATGAATGTATATGTGACCTCCACCCTCATTATGCCAACGGTTCCTTCTACCGCTATGCTCCCCATGTGTCCATTATTTAATTAAGAATCACGTGATCAAATGGTATTATTCCATTCATTGTAACAGGATTCTGATTAATACAATGAGCTTAAGACCAATCTACAAGAAGTGTATAAAAAATTTCTCGGCATCTGGAAGACTCGAAGTAAAACAGATCATGCATTGCATCCAAAGGCCACTTGTGAGTACAAGAGGTCGACAACAAACTCAACCTTGCCCCTTCAAGATCTACCATCAACCACCAATGAACCACAATGTCAAAACAATTTTATTCAACACATAAGTCAAATCAGACTTGGATCAAATGTTACGCATGTCTTGTCATGGTCTTCGTAATTGTTAGTCAGCTTAAACCAAACTTGGATTGGCTTTAGGATATCAAATCCAGTTAGCAAATCTTTTTTCTCTTTATAGTAGGTTATAGCAAATCCTGGATGTCTAGTTTCCTCCTCAAAAGTTTCAAAGTTCAGAAACTACATCAGCATGGTTACTGGATAATTTAACAGTGATGCAATATCACGCTACCGCAGAGGGATGTCTCCCCAAGATGTCAATCATGTTGAACAAATTTCAGCCCAAAATATAGCAAAGTGGTTGAAAGTAGAATACAAGGGCATGGAAAACCTTATCAAGTGCAATGGAGTTTGAAATTGATGATTCTCAAGTCAAGAGAATGATTTCTTACAATACAGCAGTACTTAGTCAAGGAATCTTACCTTACAAAAGAAAGTGAAAAGATTTGTTGTTCCATCGGAGCATATTGTGTGCATTTGCTCCCTTAGGGTAAAACTCATGTTAGGAAGATTATTTTTTACCCCAATTTTTGGGGATATAGCCTCTAGAACCTAACAACCAATCTCAAAGAGAAGAAAAAATTACATAGGACCCTCTATGTGCCTCAAAAATTTAAAGCTCCAAGATTGAACAAGAACAGTCCAATTTTTGTAGGGCAAGACCTAGGTGCTCAAGAAATTAAAATTCATTTCCCCCCCCTTAAAAATAATCATCTGATGACACTTAGATTGAACCTAAAATTTAGGATTAAAAAAATCCCCCCATGTTATTCTTTTGTTCATGGGAGTTGTTGTACAGTATGCTTCCCCCAGGAGCATGCTAGATATGCTCTAAAAGAATTAAATAACTACAAGAAAATTTTACCTCCGAGAGAAAGGAAGTCTAAGCAGTAGATGCGACATTGTGCTGACAAGATCAGGCATCCAAATGAATTGGAGAAGAACCAGCTGAAGAATAACTAACCACATATTTTTTGTAATCATTTCTACGACATGTCTTGCTACAGCATGTCCAACCTGGAAGAAAAGATAAACACAAAATTCAAGTTCAAGTTCACAATGAGAAACCACACTCCTATTCAAAGAACACAAAACATAGGAAGAGTATCATAGTTGAGCAAAACATTAAGGAAATAACCCACAAAAGTACCAGGACTACCATAAATTTAAACACAGGTATCATTTTTACATGTAAAATAGTGACAAATGGAAGAACTCATGGTTCCTACCTCATGGCCTAGCACAGTTGCTATCTCGGCATCGGACCTGAAATGGCGAAGCAACCCAGTAAAAACAACTATTTTTCCACCAGGAAGGCAAAAGGCGTTCACCATGGGATCGTCAACCACTATTACTTCCCAATTAAAACTGTCCAAGTGACTTGTTGTAGGATGAGAACCACGAGCCTGACCTGCCTTTCGACTCTTCTCAACCCACTTATCATCCAAAATCTCATCTTCGTAACCCACCTTATCTTTCAAGTCTTCCTTATCACTAATTACAGCTGCCAAAGTCTCTTCACTCCCATGAGAATCATGCATACCCAGTCTCTGATCTGAATATTGCAAATCACTCCACGCTTGTTCCTGCCTTATTCCCCTCCGTAAGGCATCGATTATATCCTTCGCTATTAACCTCACCCTCACGCTGTCTGGGTGAATTGCAGGCAAGATCTTCTTCTTTAGAGATGCTTTCAACTGAAATACAGAAATGTTTCTTCTAGGAAAGTTGAACAAGATGTGGTTTTCAATAAATACTTTTCAACCAGCATTAAGCCTATCAATTAAACAGAATGTGGATTTAAATACTTCCTAACCAGCATGAAGCCAATACACTTAGCTATTCTAGTTCAGATTTCTTCGGTCCAACTCTTTGTAAAAAGAAGAGGATAAGTAGAAAGGGCAATGGCAGATGAGGTTTCTTGGGTTCAGGCTTGCCAGCCTTTCCAAAGAAGACAAAGAACCAAGATGAAGGGTGAGAAGGGCAATTCAAGTTCAGGTTCCTTGGTCTAAGGTTGCCACTCTTTATTAAAAAAACCACCTGGGGTATAAGGTTGCCACTCTTTGTTATTATAGTATAAAAAGAGGAAGGAAATTAGCCATGAGGATGGGTGAAGATGGAAAATGCAGTTAGGTATTATGGGCACAGGATTTCCACTTTTTGAGAAGAAAATGAAGGAAACAAACCGATAGAATGGACAAAAAGGGAAAGCACGCTTGCTCAATATAAAGAAAAACAATTCAAGTAAATGAAATATGGGTGTGATTACTTCCCATCTAGAACTAGTAGCAACCAATGGGGAAAAGTGGAGATTATACTTGATGTTTCTTAGGTGTCCTATGACTGTTCTTTTCCAATAAAAGAACAAAGTAATCAAGATGGAAGAAAAGATAAACATGTGAATTCATATTTTGTGAGTACAGAATAAGCACTCTTTATAAATGAAGCAAATTCAGATCAAGATGGGCAAATAGAAAAACTCACATTCTCAAACTCCTTCTCTCCAAGCTTCCTCTCGAATTCATGGGACAAGATAACGAAATGTTTCCGATGAGTGTAAGGAATTGTCTCCACATTGCCCAGATAAACAGTGATCACGGCTCCTGAACCAACCAAGAACACAACTAGAACCACTCTAGGATTTTGAAACCAGCGTCGAGGACCCCTGGGCCTGAAATGCCTCACCTGATATCTATCCACATGATAGAACCGCATGCTCATCTTATTAGATAGAAACCCACTTCGCTGGCTCCCTGTAACACTCCAGTTGGATCGAACCAGAGAAGAAATCGCAAACCCATTTGAACTTCTCCTCCATAGAGTTGCTTGAGCTGAACTGAAGCCATTTAGACCATCTTTGAATTGGGTTTTCAACTGTTCTGAATCTCGAATGGTTTTCGTGAAGTTTCTTAAGGAAATTGAATTTGGAGTAGAGTTTTTTAAGGAGTTGTTTGTAATCTTGGAAGCTAAGTTGCACAAGGAATACAAATTCTTGTAGAAACCCATTGTCTGAGCTCAAGTCGTAAAGAATAGTTCGCAACTTAACCAGCCATTAATAAAAGAATAACAAACAGTAGAATCATATTACAAGCAGAGTCACAGTTTGGACTATAATTGGATCCAAAAGATAAGAAACACATCACAGATAAAAGGTCAATAAGGGCAATACAAAGATTATCAATTTGGGGTATTTTCCTTACATGTATCCGATCGTGAAGCATCTTCCACCACGGTTTCTAGGGCTGAAGATGGACCAGAAGCTACAAGAAAATGCTCTAGATTGAATGTCAAAATACATTTATTTTCTTTTAAATTCCTTGAATATAGTGGTGATTCAAAAATCAAAAAATAAGCATGATTCAGTGAATGTGGAATTGTTTCGTGTTGGATTTTGGAAATGGGTCTCGCTAAAAATTCGCCGAGGATTTTGGGAATGGATCAGTTTGCATTTTACAGTGTGGCCGATAGATCATGTGCTCCCGCGGGAGCACATCTGGGAATCACGCCCTTGACGTAAACCCTCTGCAAGAGTGCACATGTAGACTTCAAAATTTGTAGAAGAGTGCACCTGTACTCTTGATTTAATCTCCAGCTTTGGAAGCAACATCGTGACATGTAAAAACAAAAAATAAAAAATAATTAGAAAAAAATTACATGCTTTTTCCTTACAAGGGTATGATTTGGTCACCGTTGAGGTCCTAAACAATCAAATAGTGTCAAAAGATAGATTTAATTATTTCAATAGTGAAAATTTTTGTGATTATTTGAAAATTTAGTCACATCTAATTATAAAATTTAAAGCTTCAAAAACAGTGTAGATCGAGTATAACTGTGGATATTTAAAAATCTTAAAAATTGACGGTCTAGAAAATATATACAAGATACATTACTTATAAGACTTAAAATCTATGTTTTCTCATATCTATACATCTTGAGGTCGAGATAGTCTATTTAAAGATTTTGGGTCATAAGAATAACATCTTCGAAGTAAATTTTTTAGGTGCATCTTAATTTGATTGTTTAAGGCCTCACTATTTTATAAACTTCTTCCTATAAATAAATAGAGAAGGAAAATTTACATAAGGAAAAAGTTTATATAAGGTTGCAACCTTAAAATGTAGAATTACAGATGCACCTCAAAAATCCATTAGAAAAAATTGTTTTAATGTTAAGAAACCCTCTAATTGATCATCTCAACATTGAGATATATAAATATGACAAAAAAAGAAAAAAAAATTTAGAGTCCTATAAATAGTACATCTTGCAATATATTATCTAGACCATTCATTTTCAAGATTTTCATATATTTTTTGATCTATTTGATTTTAACCATTTTTGGAGTTAAAATTTTATAATTAGATATAAAAATAGATTTTCAGATAATCCTAAGAATTTTTTACATCAAAATTACATGTCATGATAAAATTTAGAGGTACGCTTTACTCGGATTGTTTAAGGTTGCAACCTTATAGAAATCGCCCTTTACATAAAGGGTGTAGTTGGCATATGGATGCATCCGTAGCTATAGAGGTAAGGTACGCCTTCAAATTTTATCATGATATATAATTTTGATGTAAAATGTTCTTAGGGTTATCTCAAAATCTATTTTTATATCCAATTATAAAATTTTAAATTTAAAAAATGGTTAAAATCAAGTAGATCTATAAACATATAAAAATCTTGAAAATGGACAGTGTAGATAATATGTTATAAAATGCACTATTTATGAGACTTAAAATCTTTTTATTTTTTATGGTCATACATCTCGATGTCGAGATGATTAATCACAGGATTTTTCAACGTGCCTACATCCACGGGAGATGAAAACTTCTTTACTGACAATGGATAATAGAGTTACAATATCTCTCTTCTTAATGCCTCTATGTTCTCTCTAATTACAAAGATATTTGTGTTTTTTCCCTAACCCTAAAAAACCACATCGCAACCTTCTCTGTGATTACAAAGAGATCTGTGTTTTTCCCTTAACCCTAAAAGCCCTCCAGAGTTTATCTTTTTTACTCCACCTTTAGCAGATATATTTCCTCATAATACAAAAAATCAATCCTCAACAAGAACTACCTTGTCTGATGGAGTTTTGATGTGCATTCGTAGCTCTACATTATAAGATTGCAACCTTATATAAACTTTTTCCTTACGTAAAGATCTTTCATATTTTTAAAAATAGTCCAAAAACATCATATTTTAGGCCGAGATCTCGTTTTTATTAACACTTTTTCCCCAAATGACATTGTTTCCATGGATCTCTCTCTCTCCTTAACTCACGTTTGGGTGTAGATAGGTTAGTTGAATAGTGGTTTGTTTACCTTCAAACAACCTAGAAGTCGGTTGGGCACTTCAAGTATCAAATTAATATATGTTAAAAAATAGGACCTAAAAGTTAGTTAAGCACAGAAAAGTACTAAACCAATGGTGAAAAAATAATAATAATAATAATAATAATAATAATAATAATAATAATAATAATAATAAGAGAGCCCAAAAGTCTAAGGCAGTGCCAATTTGATTTGTAGCAAAAGAAAAAGAAACCAGAAGTAAGTTAAGCACTTTTCAAGTGTAGGACCAAATTAAAAAAAAAATCCTAGGTAACGGTTCGGGACTTTCTAGATATCAGTTTGCACTTCAATTTGTAAGGCCAGATTTGAGAAAGACCTAACAAAAGGTGGTTGCTCAGTTGAATTAAGAACCAGGGGTTCTTAGAGAGAAATCTAGGGAAAAATATGAAAATTTTGAAACAGTTTCTTAATTAAGTAAATTACAAAAACTAATAATGTCGTTTCTTAATGGAGGATAGAAAAGACAAGGATTTCTTAAGTTGCCAATCCGTTTAGTGTTCTTTTTTTGGTAATTGAAGGATAATTTTTGGGTTATTATAAGATTTGGGATTTTATTTCTCGAATTTTGTTCTTTGTAACCTAAAGTGAAGAATTTTCTTGAATTTGGGAACTTGGTTAAGAAATTTCATGTTCAATTTTTGTGGCTCTTTGTTGAGAAAGGGATAGGCAAATAGGGGATGGCAATAGGCCGGGATTGGTCCCGTAGGTCCAACTTAGGCTTTCAGCTACATGTCTAGATTTCCATTCCCACTTACCCATTCGAAAACCGCTAATTATTTCTAAAAACGGGTAAGGATCTATATTCTCCTCTTGATCTACCAAAAAGAGAAAAGAAAATCCATCAAGTTTAGAACAATTTAACATCTTACCGTATTTTTATGTACTTTCAAGTAGCCCATAATTATTTTGATTAAATTTCAAAAACATCCTATCATCAAAAGTAGTTTTGAAATTTATAAATTACACCGAGAGCAAAACATCAAAAAAGAATAAATATAGTGTACTCCTGTAGGAGTACACTATCCACTTAAACCATCAGGTGAAATACATTCTAAAGGTCATTTGTTTTGGGGCAAGCTTTCTATGTTTTTTCTACCACTTAAAACTTATATGCTTCTCCTTATCCAACCGTCCATTCTGGATCCAATCACTATGTCACTTTTTTATACTATTTTACTTTTACTTTTTTTTTTCTATAAACTATTTTGACACCAAAATTTGGACATCTAAGCCTCTATTAAACTCGCACTAGAAAAAAATATATAAAAAAAATTTCTAATAAAATAAAATGGCCAAAATATTTTTGAAAGTTTTCAAGGGTATTTTGGTCATTACATTTTATCGAAAAAATATTTTTAATATTTTTTAGATGCACCCTAATGAGAAGGTGATACGTACCAAATTTCATATTTGCGGTTTGAATTCAGTCGTTCAACAACCGAAAAAGGGTAAAGTGGTTTTTTTTTTAAATTTCCATTGTAACATGAAAAAAAGACCACAGTGGTAATAACTGAAACTATTCGGTAGAACCGTAATAACAGAAACTACAACAGATATATATATATATATATATATAATTTTCCCTTGTTTTTATTATTGAAAGGTTTAAAATGTGAATGGAGCCAATGTGCAAACCAAGAAGAAAAAAAATTTCTCTATACAAAAAGGGACTGGGCCATCCGCCTTTGAGAGCATCCTTGGCCTTGAGATGCCCCAAGAGGAATGTCCCAACAAGAAAAGTAGAAGAAGAAATAAAAAAAGAGAAAGAAAGTGGGGAGAGTGGGGAAGGGGACAGAGGACAGAGTAGCATAGACCAGGAAAACCAGAGGAGAAAGAGTCTACTCTGTTGCACTCTTCGCGATGGCATCGACCTTACTGTTGCTCTTCGTAAAAACACCTTCCAATTCTATGAAGATCTCGTCAATGATGGGTCTGAAATTCCATGGGATAGATGAGGTGTTGTTACACCAAGTAATAAAATTGAAGGAGTCCCCTTCCAAAATAAGCATCTATGTCGTAAAATTGAAGGAGTCCCCTTCCAAAAATAACTATATCGGTATCCTCAAAACTCTTTCACTCGTCCTATTAAGTAATAAATATTACTATAATTGAAGTAATAATCATAATAATATCATATTTAATTTGATATATTAAAATTTTATGTGTTATTTAAAGTAACACATAATAGTTTATTTATTCGCTAAGTTTATGTCTGCTATTGAATCAAATAGTTTGTCAATCATTGATGTTTGTTTGTGAAATGTATTTCGTCTCTCCTTCGCTTTCTATGTATGTGAGAAACTATTACTCTTAATTTATTGTAAAATTTAGTTTAATTTTTATTTCATTCTATATTTTTATTTTAGATTTTGAAAAAATATTTTTCTTGTAAAATATTATTAACAAAAATATTCAATGCATGACATTTTAATAACACCTGCAATACAAGTGCATTCTATTAGTATATATAGATATGGACCATCACTTGCTGTGACGGTAAAAGGCTCAGGTAGCACAAGAGCACAAGAGCGCATGTTCGAGTCCTAAGAGCGATCACTTTGTGCATAAAAAGCCAAAGGTTAAGACTCCCTCCATCTCACCCGAGACCACTTTGTCCATAAAAAGCCAAAGGTTAAGACCGTCACCATCTCACCCCTCTCGGGACCTGGGTTATATATACTATCCAAAGTTCATTGCACGGTCACGATTGTCCGTTAGTATTTCAATCTTATTTTTTTTTTATAAATCAGAATGATCTGAAATTTGAAGCATGTGTACATCTACATCTTAATGAGGCGCACCTAATAAAAATATTAAAAAATATTTTGTAAAATATAAATTTACCAAAATACCCTCATAACTTTTTAAGGATCTTTTGGTTAATTTATATTTTACGAAATATTTTTTTTATATTTTTATTAGATTTTCCTATTTTTAATGGACATATACTCCAAATTTCAGATCATTCTGATTTATAAAAAAAAATGAAAAATTGAAACACTACCGGACACCTATGACCGTGCGATGAACTTTCGATGGTGATGAGCATAGGCGAAATCACTGTTCATTTTCACTTATAGGCATTACATAGTGTTGTCCATATATATATATATATATATAATCCAATTAAGACATGCCTCTAACCATAAATGTGATTTTGATATAAAAAATTCATAAGATGGCTTAAGAATCTATTTTTACTTCTAATTATACAATTTTAAAATCTGAAAATGGTTCAAATCAAGTAGATCTATAAACAAATGAAAATGGGCAGTCCAAATAATGTGTTTCAAGATGCACTATTTCACCGACTCGAAAACTTTTTTTCTTTCCATATTCATACATCTTGATGTCAAGATGATCAATTAGAGGTTTTCCAATATTTAAACAACATTTTATGATGGAATTTTGAGGTGCATCTTTAATTCTACATTTTAAGGTTGCAACCATGATATCTCATGGCCTGATGGAAGAGTATAAGCCCAACAATCCAGATTGAATTTCGACCGATCTGACGGTCACGATTGTATTTCACATTTGAATTTTAATATTTTTCTACAAATCAAAATTATATAAAAAATGTGGCGTCCAATCTTCTCATCAAAGGCGTACCTAATAAAAATAATACAAAATAATTCACATAAACTAAATTGATCAAAATACCTATAAAAATTTAGGAGTATTTTGGTCTATTTAATTTTTATGAATTATTTATTTCATGTTTTTATTTGATTCGTCTTTTTTTAAAACGAAAATAGACACTCTAAATTTTACGTGATTTGGATGTGTGAAAAAAAAATCAAAATCAAATTCAAAATACAATTGTGACTATTGGATCAACCCGGACCATTGGACATTTATTGTAGTTGCCAGCTAGCGGGCTTAGCAAATATAGAGTCCTAGGAATACCTAGCGGGCCTAGCAAATATAGAGTCCTATTTACCTTCCTAAATTTGGGACATTCCTAAATTATTGCTTTGTTGCTCTACTTGATCAAGGACTTAAGGGAGAATCACGATAGTGACACATGAAGAAAAACTCTGACGTACCCAAAAAAAAAAAAACAAAACTCTATGCATTGTGTTGACAAAACCAATAAATAGGAATAGTGAAGATGGGGAATCAATAATTTAGTTTGTTATTTGATAGTGGTGTTTGAAAGCACGAATAAGTGGGTGCCTACAGATCCATGTCGAATTATTAGATTGCCAATTTGGATTAATTTGAATCGATGATTCAAAAAATATTAAAAATAAAATATAAAAAGGGGTTTATGTTTTTCTTTTTCTTTTTTTTGAGAAAGAAAGAGGATTCTAAGAAAAAATTAGATAAGTAGAAAAAAAAAAAAAAAAAAAAAAAAGGGGGGGGGAAAAAAACAATAATGAAAGAGATGGTTTTGGGTAGGGGACTAGGCCGACATCGATTCCTTAACTTGAACTCGTTCAGTTGTAGCCGATTTGCGGTTTGGATCGATAATTCTTAATCCAGATCCAAGTGTGTGCTAGTAGGCTCCCTTAGGCTTTCTAGGATGCGAAACTCGCTAGGATTTTCATGTGAATAACCCTAACCTTTCACTAGTGAAAAATAAAGCTTCATTTTTTTAATGTAAAGTAGGGTTCTTAGATCTAGCTTCTAATTGTGGTAAGGGGAAGCAAATATGTTCATTTATTTAGATTGTCTTTCTTTCCGACTTTCCCTCTCCATCACCCTGAAGTTTGAATATTATATGCTCTTGCACAAGCATATATTACCTTCATTACTCTAGGTAAAACTTTAAACAATAGTTCATATTTTGGGATATAACATCCTATATCTCATAATATAGCAGAATGAATAACCATGATTCATGTATCCAATTTCAATTAATTGACAAAAGCTAAAATGATGATGAACATCCTATATCTCATAAACTACTTAAAAAAACATCATTCACAATATAATTATGCCTAAGAAAATAACATCCTAAAATCAAAAGAAGCGGCCTAGTTTTTAGATAGTCGAATCTAAATAAATTCAAAGTACCAAATTAGTCCCAATATTTTTAATTCAAATAAATCCTCGAAAGCAAGTAATTTCCTTAGTAACTACTAGAGTACTTGTATAAAGTCAATAAAATATATTTTGCATCTCACTTGGATGCAATTTCTATTAGCCCTAGGCTTTATGAAAAGTAAATCTTTGCCTAGAATCCTCATCTATATAAAGTAATTTGGGCATAAGAGGTTTCTGTGATGGCTCTAAAATCAATTTCCAACACTGATTATAAAATATGGAGCTTAAAAAAATAGTATAGATCTTGTAGATCCGTGAACACTTATTTTAAAGGCAAAATGGATAGTATTGATAACGTGTTACAATATACACTATTTTTAATGTTTGAAAACCTAAATTGTTTTACAACCATAATGATCAAGGTCAAGATGGTCTACTTGAAGGTTTTATGATTTTTTTAGTTTTGATGTGGGGCTTTACTTATTTTGATAAGAACACAACCTTATGGAAACATTTTCCCATCTTAAATGGCTAACTTTCATTAGGAAAAAGACTCACGTGGTTGAATTCAAATATAGAGATTGGCTGTTCTTAAACATCCCATGTGGCAAACTACAAATTGAGCCCTTTTGATTTACCAAATTTGAGCAAGCTAGATTATATCAAAGACTTCACAATTTTATTTTGAAAGATAAACTATTTCATGCTCCCGCATGAGTATAATGTCCATTTACTCTCTTCAAGCCTTGGGTAAAATTCAATCTAGAAAATGTTTTTAGGACCCCAAGTTGTGGGGATGTAACCTCTTAAACCCATACAAAAAACTCCTCCCAGGTTAGTCTTTTACCTGAGGGAGAAGCATATAGTACGCTCCTGCGGGAGCATAAGATACATGGTAGAAAAACCGAATTTCGTACTGATGCAGCTCAAAATTAAAGAGACTTCAAAGCCAATCAATTTTGCAGCACAAAAAAATGCTACTTTCAATTTCATACCTATTTTTATTTTTTAATTAAAAACTATTATTTGAATCCATAAAGGCATCGATGTAACACCGTGACCAAAGTGAACCGTCCGATTAAGAGTTGATGGGATGGAGAGAGAGGAGCCCCCCTTGTTCCCTTGCACCAGGACAAAGGCAAAGGCCAGACAAAATCAAGTGACGGGACGCCTCCCACGTGGCAATCATCTGGGCCATGATCGGCCTGCAACCCATGCGACACGCTCCATGCACCTCATTGGTCTTATTTACCATAATACCCCACATAATTCTAGGGTCACCATAACTCGGCAAATAATCCCCCCTTTCCAGGTTATTTATTCGAAATTTATTCCCCTTTCGGAATAAAAAGAAAGAAAATCTCCTCAAAATCTTCATTTCGTTGTAATATACCCATAAAAAAGAAAATAATCTCCCATTCTTTATTAAGGATCCAGCCTTCTATTAGTATTCATTTTGTTTAAATGAAATTTGGGGAATATTTCCAATTTTTTAATTATTTCAATTTTTTTATTAAATCATACCCTCTAAAGTTTTAAATGTCCTCAAAGGTCCCTTCCCCAATAATTCCATTTTGTCACTTGGAATTTCTATTGGTTTCATATGACCAAATCTTACAACTAATCGCGGCCTTTTGTCACCAAAAATGAACGGTAGATGTCTTAGTGCATACCATATATCATATACAAGAGGGAGATGTATATGTGATAAAGATGTTAGTTAAGTCCCATTGATTATATGAATAAAAAGAGGTAGTGTATGTAGCTTAAACCAATGTTTAAAAAGTTAGATTTGTATGTTCATGTGTGGCGCAGACTCAATACAGGGTATGACTTTTAATAAAGTAGAATGACGGATTAGGATTCGTCTATCTGACCCCAAGCTTTGATGGTGATGGTGATGATGATGAGTATTCTCTTTCAATACAATTAGATAACTATGTATTAGGACTACGATTTTTTAACACAAAAAGTAAAAAAAATATTACAAATTGTTAGACCATATGATTTTTTGGGTTTTTTAGCCAAAAATTACTAGCCTCTTTATCCAATCTAGCTCAGGCGAACTCCAAATCGGATCGATGATTTTTAAAACACCGCTTTGAACTAGTGCTCATTTATGCTTTCCTCTTTCCAAAGGCTGATTCCCATAACCCAATCATTTGTGAAGAAGGTTATTGTAGCTCCCAAACAAAAACAAAAAACAAAAAACAAAAAACAATAGGCCTATAGAGACTTTTTTCCTTTTTGATAGGTTAGGCGATGGTACTTTTAGCACTTCTTGAAACCTTTTATAGCATTAGGAAACTATACATTCTCTCTTTTAATGAAAGCATTATAAATTTCCAAAAGCAAATGCACAAAGTTTCTCCATGTCATTTTCCCCCTAAATCCTTCGTGGATCCTATGTTCTCACCCAATAATCCAAGGACCAAACCCTAAATTTTCGACAAATTATAGGGGCATTTCCGGAACCCCAACTTCCTCAAGTATATTATTTTCCAGACAATCTCACTACCCCAACACATGGCCCTTGCAGAGGAGGAGAGTCTCCATGGAAAAAGAAGAGAGAGAGAAGAGTAACCCCACCTCTCTCCACCACCACAAAGAGGCGGCGCCACCTCTCAAAAAGGAAGGACAGGCGGAGCCACCTCTCAGAAAAGAAGTAAAAGGAGAAGAAGAAAAAGGTCTAGAAGAAGATGAAGAGGAGGAGGAAGAAGAGGAAGAGGAGGAGGAGGAGAACCATAGCCTGAGTTTCAGCTCAAATGACATAAATTACAGCACCACAAGCTCCGCCACCACCACCACCGCCACAAGCAGCATAGACACCGCCCCCTCGAAGCCCCACCGCTTTGCCCACGACCCCGTCTGGTCTGCAATCCGCTCCACACACAGCCGCCTCTCTCTGGAGGATTTTCGACTGGTGCACCGCCTTGGCAGCGGAGACATAGGCTGTGTGTACTTGGCTCAGTTGAAAAATAAGGAAGGGAATGGGCCTTTTCTTGCTATGAAGGTGATGGATAAGAAGGAATTAGTTAGTAGGAATAAGATGGTTAGAGCGAGAACAGAGAGAGAGATATTGGAGATTTTGGATCACCCTTTTCTTCCTACCCTGTATGCGCATTTGGAGTGCGAGAGATGGTCGTGTTTGGTTACTGAGTTTTGTCCTGGTGGAGATCTTCATGTTTTGAGGCAGAGGCAGCCCGGGAAGAGATTTGCAGAGCCGGCCGCGAGGTAGGTTTTCTCTCTCTAGATCTTAGAGAGAGAGGATGGTTTTTTTTTTCTTCTCTCTCTCTCTCTCTCCCAAGCATTCTCCCTATCTTTATGTCTCTCTCTTCGAGTTCAAACCCATCTGCCATAATTGAGATTTGAAAGCTTCAAAACCATCTCCCTCGGATGGATGAAACGCCTCTCTCTCTAGTCTCTACATACAACGTGGTGAAAGTGAAACCCATCTCCTTATCTCTCTCTGCTCGCAAGCAGATGAACCCCATTTCCACAGTCTCTCTCTACACAGGAAGACAAATGAAGCCCGCCAGTTGCCCCCATCACAGGCAGATGAAATCTCTTTCCCTCCCTCTCTCTCTCCCCATGCGGACAAATGAAACCCATCTCTCTTTCTCTCTCAAAAGCACTAAAACAGAGTACATTAAATGAAACCAAATAAAACCCATCTCTCTAAAAACACAAACTGTCTACAATTATGCATCAATGAAACCCATCTCTCGCTCTCTAAAAACAGTGTATAATTGTGCATCAATGAAACCCATATATCTTTCTAAAAAACAGCGTATAATTGTGCATTAATGAAACACATCTCTCTTACTTTCTCTCTCTAAAAACAGTGTATAATTCTGTAGGTTTTATGCGGCTGAAGTGGTAGTAGCCTTCGAATACCTACACATGATGGGGATCGTGTACCGCGATCTAAAGCCCGAAAACGTTTTAGTGAGAGAAGATGGCCACATTTGCCTAACCGATTTCGACCTCTCTCTAAAATCCGACCACCCAACCGCCACCTCCCTCCTCCTCCCCCACCAGATCACCGCCTCCGCCTCCTCAAATTTCGGTGATAACAGCGCCGAAATTTCGTCATCTTCGTGCATCCTCCCCAACTGCATAGTGCCCGCCGTCTCGTGCTTCCACCTGAGGAGACGCCGAAAAAAGCGAAATCCCGCGAAACTTCCTGAATTTTTGGCCGAGCCCCTGGAGGCGAGATCCATGTCATTCGTTGGGACCCACGAGTACCTCGCCCCGGAGATCATCTCCGGCGACGGCCACGGCAACGCCGTCGATTGGTGGACACTCGGCGTCTTCCTATTCGAGCTCCTCTTCGGTAGGACCCCTTTCAAGGGGGTGGGGCATGACGCCACCCTGGCGAACATTGTGGCACGTGCGCTGGAGTTCCCCTCAGATCCCGCCACGTCGGCGGCAGCGAGGGACCTGATCGGCGGGCTCCTGGCCAAGGACCCCACGAGGAGGGCGGGGTCCACCAAGGGGGCCACCCAGGTGAAGCAGCACCCGTTTTTTAACGGCGTCAACTGGGCATTGTTGCGGTGCGCCTCGCCCCCGCACATGCCGTTGCCGTTCGACCCGAGGCGTGATGAGGGTGCGGAGGACGGTAATGCATCGCCCGTCGAGTATTATTAAAAATTGTATGTGAGTTTTTCCACACATCATCTAAACCGTTCAAATTAGTTGAATGATGCATATGATATAATGATACAGATACCACGTGAGTTCCAAGTTTTGGGGCCATGAACCATGTCCAAGAATTAGGGTTTTGACGCAGCGCCAAAAGGGGGCAATTAGTTTGGCGGGGCCTAGAGTGGGCCAAGGTGGGCTCGGTTGGGGTGCGCACTGGCTCGAACCATGTGGGCTCATCATCCCATTCCATTACACTATAAAAAGTTGAAATTATTCTTTTTTGAAAGGTCATATTAATGATTTTCTTTCTTTTTATTGAAAAGTGATGTTATTTAATCATTTTCCTTCTTTTCATCGAAAGGTGATGATTGATGATTTTCTTGGTGATCGGACGCATGCTGGATCGACGAGGTTGCATGATATTTTCCCTCTTGTTTATAATTGTAATTTTTTTTGGTAATTTTATTCCTACAAATTACTATCAGGTTGAAAGGTGGATATATATCTAAATTTTAAAGTAAAATAAATGTTATTGTTTAATTTTTTCATAAAAGTATATCATCACTTTGGAAATCCCTCTTACTCTTAAATCTATTTCTATTGCCGATTATAAAACTTGTAGCTCAAAAAGTGCTACAAGGTCTTTTAGATCTATGAACACGATGGAAGGTTTGAAATCTTAAATTTTTTCACATTCATAATGGCTAAGGTCGAGATGATCAATTTAAATTTCTTTTTTAAGTATGAAAGTGTAATTCTTAGTGAGCTTTGATTAGAAGTTGTACTTTTTTTCACCTTGTTATAACCTTTTCCAAAAAAATTTAAAGGTACATTTTTATTATGGTGTCTAATGCATGAAAGTACTATATATATATTTGGTTATTTCTCAGAGGTCATATATTCATAATTTTTTTATTGGTACTCTAATGCTTGAATCGGTGTGAATTTGTTCGGTCTTCTAATTTTTTGTATTTTTTATCATAAGTAGCATTTTAGAAAAAGATCAATATAATGGATCGACCATTCACCCCTATGATGAGTGATGCGGATCTAGAGTGAGAATAGCGCCCATGCTTTTTGGAGTTTCTTGATTTTTTGTTTATATATATATATGGAAAACATTACGTAACACCTATAGACGAAAATACAATGATTTTGCCTATCATCGTCTAAAGTTCATCGCATGGTCACAATTGTTCGATAGTATTTTATTTTTCATTTTTTTTCTACAAATCAGAATGATCTGAAATTTGAAACGTGTATTCATAAAAAATAGAAGAATCTTCAAAAAATACAAAAAAAAATATTTTATATAAAAAAATTGACCAAAATACCCCCGAAAAGTTTTAGGGGTATTTTGATCAATTTATTTTTCACGGATAATTTTTTTTATATTTTTATTAGATGCGCCTTAGTAAGATGTACTTGCCCTCCAAATCTCAGGTCATCCCGATATATAGAAAAAAATGAAAATAAAATATTACCGGATAATCGTGACCGTGCGATGAAATTTAGACGGTAATGAAGGTAGACGAAATCACTATTTATTTTCGCCTATAGATATTGAGAAGACTTTTCCTATATATATATAAAGAGACGATTTACTTTTGGTACATGGTGGTTACCATTAATCTTGACTATTTGATGTAAAATTGGGTGGCATTTATTTCATTGACCAAATTCAAAGTTCAAAAGCAATTTTTTCGAACTTTATGACATACCCAAGGTATCAAATTTCATATTGGGTAGATATAAGTAATTATGACCTATCTATACCAAAGGTAAATGGACTTTACATATAAGCCTTCCTCTCTCTTTTTATCAATGTTATTTTCGAGTTATGAGAGGATTTGGAAGATCGGTGTCGAAATTCCAAAGGGTGTTACATGCACACTGCCATGAATATTGGAAAGTGTGTATTACAAACATCTAACTTTGATAGGGAGAATCGGGCTGGGACCTTACCATCTCACAATTAGTTTGGTTTGGATCGATTACCATTCCGATCGACGATCCAGATCAAAAATCACCGAGTTTTAAAACATTGCGAGTGTGTGGTAGCACCAGCATTTAAGTAACGTGTCGAGGTAACACTGGCATGTGAATTTGAGGAGTCCTCTCATTGGGGCATACCCTATTGGTATTCTCTTGGACAATTTTTAAAAAAATTGCTTTAAAATTTTGGGATCCAATTTGGAATCACCAATTGAGTTTTAAAAAATGAATTTGAATTCTTAAATTAGTTAGATCTACTCATAAAAAATTGGACAACCTTTGTTCAATCTCAAGAGAAGATATATTTGATTTTCGGGCTTGTACAGAATGTATACGAATTTTTTCTCATTTTTCTAGGAAAGGGCTTGAGCTCGTGGTGATAGCACACCCTATACCTCAGCTGCATGTTGTGGTTTACATTCCTATTAACAATTTAAAATCTAAAAATGGGTATGGGCATGTCTTCCTCGCTTAATCACCAAAGAAAAAATTCTTTTTTTTTTGAAGTTTGTTGCTAGGTTGAGGAGACAATATGTCCACTCTGGATAGAAAAAAAGAGAGTAATTTTGAAAAAAAGAAGCTCCAATTAATAGAAAAAAAAAATTGCATAGTTTTTCTCATCATATCTTTGACATGACAAAACAAGAGTAAAAGAGAATTACATTTGATGGTCCACATGATCATGATGTCTTGTTCTTTTCCTTATTATGGTCGTCAATGGTATGTGTGGGAGAGAGATGGTTCATGCATTCCAGTAGACATACAAGTTTTCCCACCAACAAGACATGTGGTATTTTTGTTTTTATGTTTCTCTTTCTAGGTCTATACACAAGGGTGGTTGGAAATGTACATGTGTCTCTTACAAATCCAGTGTCTCATAGTTAGGCCAAAGGCCAAAACTTAGCCACAAGAACCACCAAAACCTAGCCAAACCCACCCCACCCCCACCCCAAAACAAAAAGTCTCTCTCTATATATATATATATATTCAATCGGTGTAGGGAATAAAGCCTTTCGACTTTGGGAAACGGATAGGCACATTGATGATTAGAGGGTTGGTGTCGGGCACTGTTAGTATATTTTGTTTTTGAAAAATATTTGTGCGTATTTCAAAATAATAATAATATGGTTTCGTGTGGTTTTTTTAAGCTGTATTTTGTAGATAGATAAATGTGTGGATTTTTAGTCTCACATTAAATGAGAGAATGTAGATTAAATAGTATTTAACTGTAGGCATTCTCATACCTTTTATTTTGAGTACAAAGGTGAGAATGGTGGTACATGGGCATGTGCGTGGGTGCTTGATGGCACACTTCGTATGCTCGTATCGGTGTGTGAGGTGCCCGAGCATGTCTACGGGTTGGGCTCGAGGCTCGATATTTTTGTTCAAGCATGACATGTGTGCCCGACCCTCGATATCATTTTGCAAGCGTGGCATGTGTAGGAAATCCAACGGTCTCTAGTTGTTGAAGCCCCAAGGCACCTGAAACTGATGGTAGCCTTGAGATGCATATAACAGTTCACTCAACGGCTAAAAACCATTGATGAAAGTTGTTTGAGTTTCAACAACTACTTTGTGAAGTGTAACAACATGAAACTGTTCACATAAACACTAAATTCGCAGCCGCTAAGCACTCTATAAAAAGGGTTCTTTTTCTCCATTTGAAAGATATTGTTGTTGGGTTCTTGTGGCATTTAAAGGCCTTTTGAGTGCTTGTAAAATGAAATGATATAGTGGAACATGAACTCAGTGGGAATATGGTCCCTCGTGGGCCATACTAAGCAAACGATATTTGCAGATACCAGACTGTGCATGACGATATAGGCCAATCGGTTGGGAAAAACTCATATTACCTGGGCATAAAGAACGAACCGGGAAGGATTCTAATGGGTTAGCCCTTGATGAAGTCAGAGATTATGTCCAGATGAGTGAGCCGAGGGACTGTGTGACTCTTGTGTGTGATGGTGGCCGACAGAGACAGGAGCCAAAACCTCGTCCATGTACCATCACATGGCATGCATATCGATAGATCGTTCAAAAAATCCAGAAATCCACCTTTTAGGGTGAAGCGTATGCACGTACGAGAGATACCCCCTATGTGTCATAGAGCTGTGGCCGCATAAGGCCTTGGTGACCTTGACTTGTCCCTAGGGGAGGACCTGAAATCCACAGACTTGGATTGCGATCCCTTAGCTCATCGGCCAGACTTTGATGACATGCTAATGAGCCTCTGTTTGGATTGTAGGTCATGAGAAACACTAGGTCGGTCTGATCAAACAAGTTTGGTATGTATTCCACAGTTGAAAGTGAAGTACCACATGATTGTTGATTCCTAAACCATATGGATCATTTTCCCATCAAATTAATTTAATTGTGTTTGTTTTATGGTGAAAATTATTTTAAGATTATTATTTGAATTTTTATGAACCCCTGGATGTTTTATTTATAATTTTTGGATTTATAAAATTAAAAGATATTGATTTTACAATTGTTTAAATATTCAAATAACATTATAAAATCTTTTTATTAATTTTAAATATATAAAAATTTCATGGGGGCCCATTGTGCACATAGGCCCATCATATTTTTAGAAGGTGGGGCCCCATTGGGTGGCACGCCCTACCCTTATTCTCTTTCCTATTTTTTGGTGATATGACATGTGGCTATATGGTTGGAAGATATTGACTTGATATATCTTTGAAAGATTTTGTGGAAAGATTAAGTAAACTTGTGTTATTTTATAGTATGCATAATATTTTGATTAGATTAATTTATTTAATTTCTATTGATAGAAAAACGGTTTAGGAAAGGGGGATAATAGTTCATGCACGTTTCATAATGTTGATGGCCCATCTATAGAATGGATGGTTCAGATCTCTCACCCCACAAGTCACCATTGATCGACGATCTATGTTCAATCTCACAAGAAGAGGCAAGTCAAAGAAAACCCTAATAAACCCTAATCTTATTCCAAGCCTATAAAAGGATTATCTCTAACAAAAAATCTCTACACCTTATCTTTCTATTTCTCTCTTTTAAGAAATTTTCCCTCTCTCATGTTTAATCTCTATCTCCTACATTGTGAAAGAATCTAAGGGTTTAAATTATGAAGTTATTATCTCTCATCTCTCTCAAATATGGATTCATGGCTAAGGGTTTTAGGATTTAGCAAAAAGAGAATCCATATTTCTCAAACTAGGTTGCTAAGAGAATTCACCTAGAGTTTGAGTTTATGATCAAAGGGGTTCATGTTCCATTAGTGTGGCTTCGCCGAAATTTGTTTTCCTGGTTTGAGATTGAAGCTAGACCGTTGATCCCACGCCAATTGGATGGTGGTGACTCGTTGTCGGGTGTAATAATCCCGATTGAGGTAATCTTCGACACTCTTCATTTTGTTTCTTGCAATCTTATATTTTATTCTCAAGCATAGTGCATAGTTGTTTTAATGACATCAAGTTGTTAAGATTTT